TATATGTTTTTCTGACATGTTGCTAAAAATAGTAATTTTTCATTTTCATAGAGAAAATGTTGACCGGGCAAGTACAAACCCATCTGCTCTAGTATAAAAATCCTTATTGTTGAGCTCTAGACCTTGATAAATAGCTGAAAAAATAATAGCCGAACTAAACCTGCAAATTAAAAATTAAACTTGCATCTCTGTTTTTCATTCAGCTTCTTTGTTACGCAATGTTGTTTTAAAATATGACTAAGTTTGCTAAGCAGATTGGAGGAGATAAGTCTGCATATTGTGTTTTTTGTTTCAGGGCCATAACCTAAATGAAAGGAGAATGGCTGGTTGTAATTGAATGACTTCCTCCATAATAGGTCTCTCCTTTGTAGAGGAAATGAGAAAGAGTTCCTAAATGGTGAATATGAACAGATGTGTTACATGGTGGTCATCATCACTCAGCTGTTGTAAGCCCAGGGTTAATTATTGCCTTTCTCCTTTATACTGTGCCAATCGCACCTCTTAAAGGGAAAGTTCATCCTCATTAATTACTCAACCTCATGTCATTCCAAACCCCTAAGACCTTCTGTCAGCTATGAGAATACTTTTTGTGTGCAAAGAAAACAAAAATAATGACTTTATTCAAGATTTCTTCTCTTCCAGGTCAGTCTCCTCCACTATTCACATGAGTACCACGACGCACGAGTGTGCATTCCTCTGCTTGTAAACAAGGTGCAGCGCGTGCATGTTCTACGTTAGAACGCTTCTCCTGCGTCAGCAGTATCACACGCATGTGTCGTGGTACACTTGTGAATGGCGGCGGAGTGAAGAAATCATTGAATAAAGTCATTATTTTTGTTTTCTTTGTGCAAAAAGTATTTTCTTAGCTTCATAGCATTACAGTTGAACCACTGATATCACATGGACTATTTTAACGATGTCCATACTACCTTTCTGGGCCTGGGAACGTTTCAGTTGCATTGCTGTCTATGCAGGCTCAGAAAGCTCTCGGATTTCACCAAAAATATCTTAAAGGGGTCATATGATGCAATTAAAATTTTTCCTTTCTCTTTGAAGTGATACAAGCTCTTGGTGCATGAAGAAGATATGTAAAGTTGCAGACTAAAGTCTCAAATCCAAAGAGATATTCTTTATAAAAGTTAAGAGTCAACCACGCCTACCTAAAACAGCTCGTTCTAACACGCCCCCACATGTCTACGTCACGATGTGGGAATATTTGCATAACGCCGCCCAAATGTTCACGCAAAGAAAGAAGGCGTAACTTTTATTCTTGCTGTAGTATTGTTGCTGCCGCCATGTCGTGAAGACGCTATGTGTTTTGTTGTGAAAGCGAAACTACTTTGTTTGGCCTTCCAAAAGAGGACGATATCTCGCTTCGTCATGCCTAGAGCTGATCCGTGCTGGTCGCTGAGGAAATACATCAACTTCGCGCTGTGGATCGCAGGATCGGCTTTCACTGTGGACGAAGTGGAGTCCAGCCCGGGGTCATCACATGTGGTTGCCGCAAGCCCGCCCGCCGCTGCTCACTCTAGCCGCCGGCCTCCGCTCACTCAAGCCCACCGTGTGCCGCTGTGTGTTTTGTTGTGAAAGCGAAACTGCTTTGTTTGGCCTTCCAAAAGAGGACATGACTAGAAATCAGTGGTTAAGTTGTATTTACAACACCGTTCCAGAACACTTCAACCCAAATATTCAGATGTGTGCAGCACATTTTATGGAGGACTGTTTCCTGATCCTGGTACAGTAGACTACAATGCGGGCTGTTCTGACTCACAGACTGTAAGTAGGTTTTTTATATTAAAGAATTTGCCACTGATGATTCAAACGCGAGTTTTGAGCAGTGTAGAGTAGCGCTTGTTGTTTGTCATTTCTCCGATCACAAATGCAGACATGGTTTTATGTTTACGTGGCGCGATGCAACGTGTAAAAAAGACAGTATATGTCATTATAATCTGTAATTATGACCCCACTGGATGCAACAAATGCCTCGTTTATAATGGGTTTTAATGTTTTTGTCTCGTCGCTCCAGGCCAGACAGGGCATCACAATATGGTAAGGGGCGTAACATTTCCGTCACACGCTTGAGGTATTCGGCCAATCACAACGCACTGGATAGCTGGCCAATCAGAGCACACCTCGCTTTTCAGACCGATGAGCTTTGTAAAAATCTCCGCATTTCAGAAAGGCGGGGCATAAAGGAGAAACAATAATGTACAGTATATGGAAAATAATGTGTTTTTTTTAATTAAACACATTTCATTACACCAAATACACAAAATAATGATATTTTTCGCAACATCATATGACCCCTTTAATTTGTGTTCCGAAGATGAACAAAGGTCTTACGTCTTTGGAACGACATGAGGGTGAGTAATTAATGACAGAATTTTCATTTCTTTGGGTTAACTATCCCTTTAATGGACTTTTTTACTAAAGTGTTTTAGCACAAAAGAAGACATCTGGTTGTTTTTGACTGATTTAAAAAAAAAAAAACACTGAATATGTTATGAATATCTGACCAATTTGTAAAAAATATTTTGAGTATAAAACATATTTTAATTGAATGCCCAATTTTAAATAATACTGGGCAACTTTTTTATTCAGAAAATGTTAATGGACATTTTTAAAAATAATTCTCCTGGAACGATTTTAAAATGTTTGTCAAGCATTAAGCTGAAAGACTATATAATTGTTCTTGTTACTTTTGTTCTTGTTATTTTTATTATATGTATGTTTTTGTATATTTGTATACTTTATTTATTTATATATATATAATTTTCAAACAAAATTGTTATATAATTCTTTTGAAATTATATATACGATTGAATTGTGAAATTGAAATGTTTCCTCTTGGCATGAATATAGCAACTGCTGCTGACATGGCGTTAAATCATAAATAAATAAATATCTGACCAATTTAAACAACATTTTGTAGCATTCATTTTCATTGATTGTTGGTTTTAAATCATGCATGAAGCCTGTGGTTTTGACAGTAAACTGTTTGCTGTCATCTCACAAAACTAAAGAAAAATTCAGCTGTTGCCTTCCCACGGAGCTGAATCGTGACTGAGTGCTTGTAAAATATCACAAGCATTAAGGAATATCAAAACCATAGTGTAAAAAGAATGAGTGGGTGCTTTGTAGCTCTTTGCAGGCACAGCTGAGCCCTTGCTCAAGGCATCTGTGTTCCCATCCTCAGCGCCTCAGTGAACCACACTAACCTTCTCATTTCATGGGCTTTAATTTAAATTAACTATGGCTGATCGTTCGCTTTGATCACATTAGTCTCCCCTTCGAGCCCCAATTGCTTTTTATACACCCTCGTGCTTTCCTGTTGGTTTTACTAAACCCTCTGGAATTAACAGGAGTGATGACATCTTCATATGTTTGATTTCCACTTCCTACAGTTGTCCCTCATCTTTCAGCACATAGTTTCTCTCTCTCTCTCAGCACTCCACAAAAAAAAAACAGTGTCACAAATCATTGGACATGCTTCCGGTCAAGAGTTTTGAAGTAGAGATGTGTATACACAAGCCGCTTTAATTACAAACGGCTATATCTTTAATGGTAGTTTTTGATGAGGGCTATTGAAAAGATCACCCCTAAATCTACAGAATTGGGAAGAAGTCAACATTCCTTGGGAAATAAGTTATAATCCTCTTTTGAAGCGAGGGCAGTCGGGGTCAACTCCTCCTGGCACCTGTATGGATCTAAATGTCTCAGGCTTGGTGACACTCTGTCTGAGGAACGTTTTTGCCTTGCTTTGGGCGCTAAACCACACAAAGTCTCAGTTCAGTTTAATACTGGAGAACAGCATTATGGATCTCCTGTGTGACCCATTCAGTGTTACTTAGTGAATATGTGCAAATTTGTCAAAGTTATGCCGTGAACTTCCTTGACAGCAACTTACTTTACTCCTCTTAATTTATTCCTCATTTCCATCCAAGCTTCTGAGTGTTTTGTTGTCATATTGTTAAGTTTGAAGCTCCCATTTTATAGCGTATGATACTGTATCAAACGTCGCTTGCAAATATGTACTTTTAAGTTTTGAAACAAGTTTAAACAAGAAAGTCATCTTAGGCTGCAATGAGTGTTTTTAGTGAGCAGTGTGGCAATCAGATTTCCACTTTTTATTACCAGTTTAAAGATAAATTTCTAAACTTTGTCTTCATTAACACCCTCTCTATCTCACTGCTTAAACCCTGCCACTGCACAATCGCCTGCAAGCTTGCATTTATTTTTGACTGAAACACCCTCATCTCAAGCCAGTCAACAACTGATGCATAGCACCAAGTCCCTGCCTTACATTTTTTCTTTGATAATCCATTATACTTGGATGTTTGTCATAATACAGAAGAAAAGATCTGTCACTATTTCAGTTTTATCATGACTTTCACTTTGACAACGTTCAAATAATTCTGAAGATGCAAAATGTTTTCTTTTACTAAGCTGTGATTTGGCAACTGTGACGCACTGAACATGTCTTAAAGCAACACATGACAAATCATAGAAATATTTGAGACTATTCTATCATTCTTTTGCATTCAGAAGTCGCTGATGTATTTCTTTCAACTGATCCAACTTTTATAATGAGAAAAATAAACAGGGAATCTGCTGTCTTAAATTTGTGATGCAACCAGATAATGATAATTCACTTTATATGACATCCATGAGTATTGGATTCCTGCAGATCTAATTTGTTTTCTGACTTTAGTAATGGGGAATTTGTTAGCAATGTTGTTAAAGACAACAAACTTCCTCCTTTACCCAGAAGAGGCTCAATGGCAGTTTGCATTTTATCTCCATAGTCAGAAGTTCTGATAAAGCTCCTCTGATATAGTATAATTGTTGTTTGTGGGTGCTTTATGCAGTAGTGGCTTCCTAATGACATTTTTCTTTAGTTTTTCAATGGATGGTATAATTATCTTTTTCTTTGCTCCCCATTTCTTTTTAGGTACTACAAAGTTTTTTTTACAGGAGCTTGTGGCTTTGCTCTGTGATCAGCTCCAGACAGAAGACTCTGAATGCTGATACTCATGAGTACACTTCATCATCATGTGCTGCCACACTTGCTACCCTGTGAGGTAAGAACCTGCTGCTTCCTGTTGCAGACTAGTGTATGATGCTCTTCTTTAATTTAACTCTGTTTATTCCTTTACCCTGTGGTCTTTGTGTTTTTATACTTTTTCTTTTGTAAATCAGGTTCTGTTGTATTTCACAGAAGCTTTTGTGAAATTAAACTGCTGGTAAATGGTTGGAGTGATCTACTCACTGTTGACAAAGGGTAGGGCTGAATGATTAATTGCATTTGCAATAATATCGCAATATGAAAAAATGCGCAGAGGCTGTGATTACACTCGGTCACGTGACACGCGAGAGAAAAGAGGTGTGTTCGACTTGAAGATCGATCAGTGTATGACATCAAAATACGGCGAGAGAAAGCATAAGGAGACATCCGCGCTCTCTTATAGCTCTCGCAGTAATACTTTGATGACACACACCCATCGGTCTAAGCAGCGCTGCTTCAAGCTGATTTTTTTTATAGGTTTAAAGGAGGGCGCGACCAAAAAAGTTTGAGAACCACTGGTCTAAAGTTAACAGACAGTGTTTAGTGCAGTCCACATGTGACTTTGAATTACCTAAAGTAGTGTGGTAAAGCAACAGATTTGTTTTTATATTTCTGCAATCTACTTTAATTTGTGTGATTTGTTACTGACTTTCATATTAATGTTTACACCAGGATTATTTGTAAGTGCTTTATGTTGTCATAATTATTACATGCTTACAAGGTTGGAAGTTCAACAAATCAGTCAATATACTACTGTGATTGTAGTTGTTAAATAAAAATGTCATTCATATCAATTCATGCATCACCTAATTTCATCGTAACATATAGGCCTGGCCTACAGAAAAGAACATTTATGTTTAATCTATCTAATAGTGTGTTGGTCATGCTATACAATGATTTATAGCTTGTCTTTGTTGAATAATACAGAACATAAAGAGCTTAAAAAAAATAATTGCATATTAAATCGCAATATCGGAAAAAAAAAATCGCAATTCGATTATTTTCCAAAATCGTTCAGCCCTAACAAAGGGTCACCTCTTTTTGAAAGACTTACTCCATAGCCAATTACATTAGTAAATGCTGCAATTTTTCTTTACTTCCTCCACCTTTGGCTGTATTTTCATAGGGAGAGAAGAAACATACGGCAACCTTGATTACCGAAGCCCAGAGTTTAACCCTTAACCCTGTGCCTGAGACAGAGACAGACCTATGCAATCAGCGAGTTTCCTGTTTCATAATTATTGGTGCTTGATTGGTCTGTCAGAGAATAGATACCCTGCAGCCCACCTCCACCGTTCCACCCCGCATTAATGACCCACGACATATGAGAACCATGTTTACATGCAGAACTCCAAACCGCCACATCGAAGGGATCACTGTTGGGATTTTCTCAGGTACTTAAGGGCTTTACTTTTGATTAGACTGTAGTGCGAGTTTAGATGTCGCTCAGAGGCATGGGTCAATCAATGCGTGATGTAGCGAGTCCTATGGACCTGGGATGTTTACATGGGGCTGGTGGGATGGCTGGCTGGAGGGAGGGGCTGTTCCACTCAATTGCAGCCACATGTTTGCAGAGGATGTGGAGCTGAACAAGGCCGTGTGATCTGCCAGGCTTTAAACAGGGCCTTCGCCTGTGGGCATCTCTAAAGTTTTCCAGTGTGTTCCTCCAGCCTCTTCGTTACTGTGGTTTCTGGGCAAACACACTACCCTGTTGCCGTACAATTTTGCATTCATAAAATGCACTCAGGCTGCCTGAGATTCCCATACAATTGCTCAGACAAATCCGTTCTTGTACTGACTTACACTAACACACAGACCACACACATATAACTAAGTTGCACTGAGATGGGGCATAGAATATTTCATATGTGCCGGCGAACATTTGCAAAAAGCAGAAGCAGGACAATTTTCTAATGTGCACATGAAGCATAACGAAAAGTGATATTGTCAACTAACTCTGGTTTTTGTTTGTATTACTTTGGCCACCTGTTTTATGTGGTCTGTTTGTCTGTTTTGACCTGTTTATATATGTATATATATATATCTTTTTTTGGGTATGAGTGCTTTGTCTTTTGGAGCAATCGCACAGCACTTAGGCCAACTGTAGCTAGATGAAACCGAGCTTGCTGGTGCAACATCTCAAAAAATGGACTGGCATGAATTCTGTAGGACTAAATGGTTTACATTTAAAAAAGACAAATTATTGTTTTATTCTGACTAAAATTAAAGTTTTAAAGTACACATAAACGCACTAATTGTTGGATCTAGGATCAAAGTGTCCAGATGTCACACTTTGACTGAAGAACAAAGCCTTTTACTGTTCTTCCTGCTGCTGTAATTAGGTAAAAAGTCAGTGTAAAGTTGTAAAATGACAGACATTTAGTAGTTTAAATGCTTGGCCTTTTATGGAAAATGAAAAGAGGTTGATTGACCAAATGGCATAGCTCATCCAAAAATGGAAATTCTGTCATCATTTACTCATCCTCATGTTTCTCCAGACATGTATGACTTTGTCTTCTGTGGACACAAAAGAATATTCTGAAGATTCCATACATTGAAAGTCAATTAAATCAGTGTTGTTTTGGATCCCTTTGACTTTTATTGTATGACCAAAATAGTTGAATCAGTTATTTTGTCACAGAAGAAAGCAGGTCTTACAGGTTTGAAATGACTTGAGGTGAGTAAATGATGACAGAATTTTCATTTTTGGGTGAATGATCCCTTTAGAGGCATGGGGTTTTCTTAAAAATATGCCTTTTTAATTCTCATACTCTGGACTTGTTTACATGTAATTTCCCTGATCTGCCCAAGAACCTTTGGGCTGAGTTTTCCACTTATACCAAATTCCTCATACAGGGCAAGAAGATCTTGTGCAGTAAGAAAGCTTACCACAGATGATAAAACCTCTTTATCATCCCACAGCCATGGAATTTGTGAGCAGGTAGTGGAAAATACAATAACTCTTTCCTTTCTGTCATGCTCTAATGCCTTTTGAGAGACCGCAACTAAAACCTTGGTGCTTGTAAAAAAATATTCACCTTCATTGAAAATCGATCTCCATTCCAGCAGTGTCACAGTATCTCCAATACAGTGGGGCAAAAAAGTATTTAGTCAGCCACCAATTGTGCAAGTTCTCCCACTTAAAAAGATGAGAGAGGCCTGTAATTTTCATCATAGGTATACCTCAACTATGAGAGACAAAATGAGAAAAAAAAATTCAGAAAATCACATTGTAGGATTTTTAAAGAATTAATTGGTAAATTCCTCGGTAAAATAAGTATTTGGTCACCTACAAACAAGCAAGATTTCTGGCTCTCACAGACTTGTAACTTCTTCTTTAAGAGGCTCCTCTGTCCTCCACTGGTTACCTGTATTAATGGCATCTGTTTGAACTCGTTATCAGTATCAAAGACACCGGTCCACAACCTCAAACAGTCACACTCCAAACTCCACCATGGCCAAGACCAAAGAGCTGTCAAAGGACACCAGAAACAAAATTGTAGACCTGCACCAGGCTGGGAAGACTGAATCTGCAATAGGTAAACAGCTTGGTGTGAAGAAATCAACTGGCTACCATCAGTAACACACTGCGCCGCCAGGGACTCAAATCCTGCAGTGCCAGACGTGTCCCCCTGCTTAAGCCAGTACATGTCCAGGCCCGTCTGAAGTTTGCTACAGAGCATTTGGATGATCCAGAAGAGGAGTGGGAGAATGTCATATGGTCAGATGAAACCAAAATAGAACTTTTTAGTAAAAACTCAACTTGTCGTGTTTGGAGGAGAAAGAATGCTGAGTTGCATCCAAAGAACACCATACCTACTGTGAAGCATGGGGGTGGAAACATCAGGCTTTGGGGCTGTTTTTCTGCAAAGGGAACACGACGACTGATCCGTGTAAACGAAAGAATGAATGGGGCCATGTATCGTGAGATCTTGAGTGAAAACCTCCTTCCATCAGCAAGGGCATTGAAGATGAAACGTGGCTGGGTCTTTCAGCATGACAATGATCCCAAACACACCGCCCGGGCAACGAAGGAGTGGCTTCGTAAGAAGCATTTCAAGGTCCTGGAGTGGCCTAGCCAGTCTCCAGATCTCAACCCCATAGAAAATCTTTGGAGGGAGTTGAAAATCCGTGTTGCCCAGCGACAGCCCCAAAACATTACTGCTCTAGAGGAGATCTGCATGGAGGAATGGGCCAAAATACCAGCAACAGTGTGTGAAAACCTTGTGAAGACTTACAGAAAACGTTTGACCTCTGTCATTGCCAACAAAGGATATATAACAAAGTATTGAGATGAAATTTTGTAATTGACCAAATACTTATTTTCCACCATAATTCTTTAAAAATCCTACAATGTGATTTTCTGGAATTTTTTACAGGCCTCTCTCATCTTTTTAAGTGGGAGAACTTGCACAATTGGTGGCTGACTAAATACTTTTTTTACCCACTGTATATAT